GAATTTTTCTTGACATGTTTTCAAGTTCAATATTAATACAAAAATTTTATCTTGATTTAGTAACTAGACAAAAAAAGGTGGCTTCATTTGTGCATAAATTTTTTTCCAAATATGTATGTACTTGGATGCCCTTAAATTCCCCAAGTAGAGAGAAATGCTTTCCACGGAGCTGCTTATTTCCAGTAACCCACATCAGAGCTGACACATGAAAAATGGTGAAATTACTGAAGGTAGTCCAGCCTGAATAAGGACTACCTTATTAGTTCAGGTACTTGCATCTCCCTAATTTTCATATTAATCATGTGTCCATCTTTCTTTGAAATAGGGCCATCATGTTTCATGTCAGAATTTAGCATGTAAGTAAAATTCATAGTGCTTCAAATCTCACTTGAAAATATTTGTATGAAGAGAACAGTGACTAATTTTATTATTCCTATCTAACAAAAATGAGATATATTTTAGTCCTTTTGCACTACATATACAATATGAAGAAGCTGGCAAATAAAAAAAAAAAATTAAAAGTAGTTCCCCAAACCCTCAAAAAAACCCCCCAAAAGATAATAATATGGAGCTTTTCCTATTTAACAGAGCTGCTACACACTATAATGCACCTATGTTATATATTTCTCATCAATTTTTACAGTTTCCACTGATTAAATATATATTGACTCATAAAGTATTACCATTACATCAATTGTCAGCAGATGCAAGAGTATGTCATTTAAATATTAACTATCATATAAAAATGGCAGCTTGATTGTTTGGAAGCAGTAATCTGGTGCTGGTTATTGCCATATTTCCCTAATGCATTAGGCAGCAGTCACAAAATGCATTGCCTTTCTTATATACCTGCTACTACAAAATCAGAAGCAAATAAGTTCTTTGTATATCTTCCCTTTCTCTTAGATTTAATTTTTATTTATTTCTGAACTGCAGATATCTTTGATCTGAATTGCAAAAATGCATTAGTATAATATAAGCAAAGATATGCTCACTAGAGTCAGAAATTATATGAATCATCTCTAAATCAACGGGAAAAAAATATACAAAGAACCAGTAACAGATATATTACTTTGTGCTTGAAATATTTTTATGACAGTTCCCATATAATATGGGTGTGATATATCACGAATCGGGTTGTTTTCCTAAATTCTTAACAAGATTGTACTTATTTATGTAAAGTACATTCTATTCTCAGTACTTTAAGACTCGTCTTTTCCAGAAATGGTAAGAAGCTACACATTACCACTAATATGAAATAAGTCCTTTATTCTATGCTAACTGTAGGATCAGGATATGCGGACACTTCACAGACCATTAAAACCTTCTAGTAATTGATAGGTAATCGCTCATTTGCTGGCTGCAGCAATGTACATGAGAGAGAAACCATTCTTTCTTACTAATGTAACATGTAGAACTTGCTGCTAATGTTTGTAGTGCCACATAATTTTTAATGCAAACACTCATTTTCTGCCTCCTTCTTACATTTTGTATTAAAATGCAACAAAAACCAGCATACATTTCATTCTATCCCTTTGACGGTTGCATACGCAGTTCCAAGGAGTATCAGCTATTGTATTGTTATTATCATTGTAAATAAATATTTTAGAGTTTAAGGGGTAGATATTTCATCAATTTTTTTTCTAGGAGGCTCACTGCCACTCTTTCAAACTTTTTACATCTCCTTTAAGGTAGTGCTTTAGATAGCAGTTTTTAATGCAAAGAACACCTTGCATCCCAAGGCAGATTCATATTCTAGTTAATAAACAGCACCAATAAATTTGTCAAGACTTTAATGGCAACCGCACTGAACTTTTCATACACCAGCTTTTCTAGGAAATGGCTATACTGAGGAATTTATTCTGCTTAATTGCTTTATATTAAGCAGTTCTCATTAGCCATCCTCTAATCCGTATGAGCAGAAATAAACGGAGTCAGGAAAATGAACTGTTTTCACCCTTCCTATTATTAAAAAAAATCTTAGATGGGTTTTGTTATTAAAAACAAGGAATCAAATATAAGTAAAAATGATGCAACTCCATTTAATCAATGTGGGAATTTTTAGTATGTTTGTGCGTTAGAGACCTATGGTCTGACTGAAATTTCCCGCAAAATACAAATTCGGAGTTTCTTACACATTTGCCTTGAAGTTAAGAGACTAATTACATTAACTGATTTATTAATAAATGGGGCTTTTTGTCTAATTATTGTAAGTACTAACAGACTGGGGAACCATTTTAAATGTCTAATGTGCCTTGAAACCATTTTTTTTAGGTTAATTACATTTCTCACTAAAGTCACTACAGATATGCCCCTTAGGTTTTACACTGGAAGATTAAAGAAAAAAGTAAAGACGATTACCTCATTGGCCAGCTCCAGTAATACAGGGGCAGCTGCATTTTTCATCACCCCGTTCAGGTACCTAGACAAGACAAAGCTGGGTAATTCTGCAGCAGCAAGAAAAGGCCAGTTTATACATGTCAGTATCCCTTGTGAATCTCTTTCATTTGGGGGAAAATACTTCAGTACAGAGTATTTAATGGGAAATCTTTTAAGAAATAAGTATTTCAAAGAATCACTAACTCTCCAGGGTTGTCTCCTATTCATCTGCAAGATAGATCAATCTCAATTAAGTCACTGGTAAAAAACACAATAAATCAAGAAATTAAAAAAAATTTTGGCTTAATGACATACAAATAAATTATACCTGTACTACTTAAAGATGCATCACAGACAAATAAACCTTTATTATTCACAGTAAAGATTTTGGGTTCCCCATGACCTTCAACTATGATGGCACACTGTATATCTTACTCAATTCACTACTATGCATAAAAACATGAATTCTTAAATTTAATCCAGATTTTATCAACTGGGCAGTAGTTTAAACACTAAACTTACTTTAGTGAAATCAGATTCTAAGAATCAAATTAATATCCTAAAGAGAAAATAAAAGAAGAAATATTTAGGATCCAATAAAGGGCAATAGAGAGTCATTGTCCTGTCAATGGCAAAGGCTTAACATTTCTGGTTAAGGGTATTAGACCAATATGGATACACAAGTGATGTTTCTGACCACCGCATCCCACAATATCGCCTTCCTCACCTCTGTTACTTTCACTGTTTGATGTTTACATTTCAATAATGCCTAAAACCTGTTCTCAGGAGTTGATGGGAAGAAACTGTATTATTGGAAGACACTATGTGCTTTGCAGCCATGTGGAAAAGAACAATAGTTACCAACATTTGAACCTGTTCATTTATCCTATCTGTATTCGTATAGCACATCATTACTGACATCATTAGAAGGCCACAGCATTTCCAGCTCTATCATTATCTATCCATCAGAAGGCACTCTTCTGCTCATTAGTTACAGACATTAAAATTCTTTATCATTTTACCTTTCTGTGGAATGGGTGTAACACCTTTACATAAACCTCTTCACAGATGATTAGAGGGCTTTTTGTTTGCAAGTTATTCCGAGGCTTAATGAATAAAGGAAATGATAAAAGCTTTTTGCTGTAACCTATTTCAATTCTACATAAAAAACCCACAAAACAAGATGCCTTGTTTATAGTTAAACATTGAAAATTTATAACAGAAGGAAAAAAGGAGAGATCATAAACAAAATACCTAACCAGGAAGATTTACTTGAGATTAATGTTATAAAACATGCATCTAGTTGATCGAACAGAACAGCAAAGCTACAGCTGACAATGGAGTAATTTTCTGTCAGGTATTTCTAATGCTACTGGCAATTCCATTATGGACTAACAGGTCTCACATGTTGATGGCAATACTGTTCTGAAAAGCTTGCTGATCCTTCTCATAATTTGTCTTCGTATTTGCCTAAATTTAAGACTAGTAAGTCTCAGCAGAGCAGCAGAAACTACTCCACTCAACTGTACTTCTACGTGCTCCCAACAGGGACCACTGGAAACGACTACCTTCAAACACTGGTAGTTTCTGACCTAGGAAAGCAATAGGAGCACAATTATTTGCTTGTATGTGGGTGGGAATAGGAAGGAGCATACCACACAGACTGGGGTTTACAGCGGTAAGATGGATGCTACAAAAGAGTAGAGGAGAAGACGTGTTTGTCATGTTTACGCTTGAAGCATTTCAAACTGGCTTCTGACTCAAGTAGTCTGCCCCTGTAGCTTACGAAACATACTACACAGTAAATCTACTAAAACAGGATGGAGATGAGTCTTCTAACTATTAACCAGAACATCTCTGATTTTAAAACATGTGCATTTTATTCGTCCATGTTAATACATTTGCAATATGAAATACCCAGAAACAGCATGAAGAATGATTTTTCCCTACCACCACCATATAACTAATGCATTATGCATGAAGCTATGTACTGCTATCACACTTCAGACAGTACAGAAGGGGACAGGAGACCAAATCCTCCTACCTAATGTGAGCCAAACTTAATCATACCTATAACCTTACTGACACCAATACAACTGCTGCTTTGCATACAGCAGAATTTGGTCCCATGATTCAGGTTTAAGTTGTTGGAACTAGTAACACAATCATCATAAAAGTGATTGAAATTATTTACATGTGTTCTAAGAAAAGGGTTATTTACACAGCAGTTACAATTAGCATAGGGTACTTCACTGAAACTGTGCTAGTGAAAAGTAATTAAAAATAGTATTGTATATACATGGTTATTAACACAACAAAATTTTAAGCCAATATTCTTCCTAAACAAGAATCAACACTAGGAAAAGTACAATGTGATCCAGTACAATTTTTTACAGAACAATACAACTACTAAAAAAAGAAAATCAAACCCCCGAAACAGCACAATTCACACTAGACGTTCTAAACCATCGTCTGATATAATCAGGCTGTGCTTAGGTTTTTAATATATGACTCTGTGGAAGTACAGTTAATTGTTTACAAATAAAGGCTTTTTGTTTATTTTCCTGATTCATACAGATGAATATTAAGCATAAATATCACTTGCCATGCAAGCTCCTCAGATATGTCAGTCTACAAAGTAATATTTTAATTGGGTATCTTTACCAGTTACCAGTATGCCCCAATTATGTCATTGCAATATTTTTACTAAAGCCTATAGAAGTCACAGACAAACTATAAGGTGTAGCAAATACAATTTATTAGCTTAAGACACAAACAATTGTGAAATACTGTAAAATAACATAAAGGTTTTTAGCCTCCCTTAACAGCTATTTCTGACACTTCTGTTGATAAAACCGGAGTGATCTAAAAATCAGTGCTTCAACTGCCAATACATGAATTTAATATGTAACTTTTTGTAATGTAACACAAATGTTGTTTTAAAAGTACAAGCAACTGTAACAGAACAAGCTCACTTGCTGTAAGGAAGTTATCATCAATATTAGTCTTGACACAGAAATCCTGTCATTACAAACTATAGGCAATATATAAAATGCTATCACACACACTGTAAAAAATATTTGCTCATCCTGACTTAGAGCCAAGGAAGTAAATCCTTTCTTAATTAGACTGATCAAAAGCTGAAAAATTTCTGCATTTTCACTGAAAAACATTTTTAGGTGAACCGTTCTGTACTCATCCCAAATTTTTAATTTATTTTTAAGCAAATTAGCTTCATAAGCTAATAAGCTAATTTACTTATTATTGCCATAACAATTAGTAGTTATGATGATACTCTTAACTGGGATGGGGAGGTCATACCTTTGGTAGTAAGTTTCAATAGCTTCAGCAGTGTGATGCTTGGCGTGTGTTCTTTTGATTTGTTTCTAGAAAAATGAAAAAACAAACAAAGAGCCTTACAAATGTGTCATAGATCAAAACACAGAAATCATGACTGCCCAAACACATGTTCCTTGGCTACACTTTGATATATAAACTGAACTAGGTTTTTAGATTCTGTACAGAAATGACATTCAATCTACCTATTGAATTGAACGTCTTCAGACTGTACTGCAATGTACCGTATATGTAAAAGCCAATAAGGTCACAATAATTGAATCTAAATAAGTTTACTGAAGGCTGCAGAGGGCAAAGAAAAACTTGTTCTCTCTTTCAACCTTTGTATTAATTTTCCCTCAATTCAATTCCATCTAAGTCTGGTGCACTCTAGTTTTACAATTCAATTGGCATTTTTAACCAGGAAGAACATTGCTTAAAAACAACTTATTTGAAAAACTACAAAAAGTAATTCCATAGAGACTTGCCACTTGACTGACACCTGTCATCTCATGATAAATGACTCCATTTTCTGCCTCTCTTGCCTTCTGCCACTCCGGCAATGGTCATTTATCATCATCTCTGTCAGCAATGGAAAGCAGCACTGACAGTGCAAGTCAGCAAACATTTAGCACATGGAACCACGCAACACAGGGAAATTATTATTGTCAGAATAATAATGGTTTAGCATAATTTATTACAGGTCCACCAAATAAGCAAAGGCTAGATGTTATTAGACAGATGGATGGGTAGGCTTGGCAGCCATCCACTGAGACTCAGGCGGTGCTTGATGTGGAAAAGGGAACATCCTCCAAACCAATCAGAAAGCTGGCAGTTCAATTACAAAGAAATAAAGGGACATTCATCATTCAATTAGGCACCTGTCAACCCTCACAAAGGAGAAAACTTCTAACCTGGTACTCCTGGGAGAAGATGCTCAGCAGAGTGGACTGCGATTGACTGGAACAAATAAAAGAAGGACAAAGTTAATTACTGGAGTGCACTGCAAAGAAACAAAAGAGAAGGGAGCTTCAAAGGTAGGCCTGCTGCCCTGTAATCTAACAGAACATGAAAACAAGTGTGGAAAAGTTGTTCCAGATGAACACCTCAGACAAAGGCTTCCTGCTGCTAGGTCAAGGAGAGAGCGTATGAGGGAGGGGAGGAAAATATAGCAAGAGTTTCAAAGCAAACGAGCGTATTGTTTGGGTGATTCCTTTTTCAGCTTCAGAACCCACAAAGTCCTATCAGGAGCAGGTAGCTGAGTTAAAAGGGAACAAGCAAAAAGGAAAACAAAGCAAAATTTCCATTAATAATTGATGGAGTTAAATTCCATCAGCAGTTGGGAACATGCCGCTTGTTCACTGGCAACATATTGAAATTCATTTTGTTAGCAGCAAGGGAACCTCTTCAGTAGCTGTCTCATATTCAGGTTAAAAACTTCCCCCTCTGTCAGAAGTAGCATATGGGACCACTGGAACATTCCCACTGAAACTGATGTGCTTTGAAAATAGAAACTTTCACAGCAGGAAGCCGAGATTCCCTGGAGTCGGTCATTTCCAAAAGCTGCCATAAGCTTCATTCATCTAAGGCTCCACTCAATGTCAAACACCTGGCAATGAAGCAACCTGGAAAGCATTCTTCCCAAGTGGGAATTTTTCTCTCTGAATTGTTAACATTTAGAAATGGGACAAGATTTTTTTGCCCTCTGAAAGGCAATCAATACCACACCGCTACTGTTTTCAATTGTCCTCTGTGGATATATCTACCTCATCACATCCTGAACACAATTAATTACTCCTGATATATTTTCCTACTACATGCAACTTGAACAAATTATTGTCTCAATAAATCTAGTTTTATGGTACAGCAAAGCATTATGAATAATTAATATTTTTCCTTTCGTGAACTTACCTACTAAGGCATAGCATAGGTAGTTCAAAGATTCAGCAATGTCTAAAGTCTTCCTCTTCTGCCAGATTTCTTGTATGTGAATTTAACACCTGTATCACATCATATGTACATTAAATATAAATGTTCTCTCCATACTTAAATGGCCCTTCTCCTTGCAATTTCCACACCTCAGAAATACTAATTTAAGATAAGGAAGTCTTACTCCCATTTTCAAAAGGGAAAACTGAGGCACAGAATGACTAAATAGCTTGTTCAGGTTTAAACAGACGGTACGTCTACACAGCACAATATAAAATGTTACCTCTAAACTAACCAGCCGAAGCATTAGCAACAAAGCAAGTAGATCGACGCAGTGCTATATAAAGAGCTTACTAGTTTGTTTTATCCATACCTGTGCTTCCAGCATCTTTGCTATAACATGGTATTTCAGGCTTGTCTGCCCAGCGCAACATCGGTGTGACAGCAGTAAGCTGAGCCTTGATCTCCGGTATTTTACACATGAGAATGTTCACCCTGAGTACTCACTGACTGAATGTTAAAACCATAGAAAAATGGTAGCAACATAAACTAATATACAGATTTATGAAATTAATGGATTACAGAAAAATGAATTACAATATAGTCAAGAATTTAAATATTCTTAAATATATATCAATTGACACAGAGAGCAGGAGATATGTACCACAATGCCTCCCCAAAAGGTGCACCATCTAATTATGGCAACCTTCAACATGCACATGTAATCATTAGAAGGTGAACAAAGGAAAGAAATTAAGATTATACACTTACACAGACTATGTACATATGCAAAGCTAAGGTATTTCAAGTTGATTTATTTAAAAAAAACCCTCCAGGATATAAATAAGTTGGATACATATGGCCCCCTAATGGCTCTCCACGTAACTATTATTATCTGGGAGATTTACATGGTCATAATGGTAGAACTGAATTTAGAGAAAAGATACATAAAAAAACAAACCAAAACAGGACAGCATTTAACTGGATTTCTGGTTTGACTTCTCTCCCACTGACATACCAATTTTTGTATTTTTAGGCTATTCCCAGTATGATTACTGTACTTATTGTACCATTATCCTATTATACCCACCGACATATCAAAAAGAATTAAGACCATATCCCTCTCTTCACACTCCTGACTTGTGTCCATTTTATTTGTTCCCTTGGTGTCCTTGGATTTTGCCCTTCTATTTCAGTTTAGTCTGACACTCCTCTCCTGTGCTTCCAACTGTTAAGATCATTTAGGACTTACCATGAACACTAAAAAATTCAGTCCAATAACTGAACAAGTTGGATATATACTGGACTGCAGTACAAAAACATTATGACTGTGACAAAGAGAATTATTTCAGTAATACCATTCAAAGAATGTCAAGCCTTACTACTAGAAGATCTTTCCCCTTCCCCAGGAGAAGTGGATTTACATCTTCACATGGCTGCTTCTGTGTTTCTTCTGGTTAACGCAGTTCCCCTCTTAAACACTGAAAGCCCTTATCTGCCACTCAGTTTCCTTGCCACAATTCCATCGCCACAACTTCCTGGCAAAATGAAATAGCTCCTCAAGCACGGCTGGAGCATCTATTGCAAGATGCGATTGACAGAAAACTGAGACATCATGGTTTCGGAAAGTGCTGAAAAAGACAGTACTGTGTATTTGGAGAGGGGACAGAAGTCATGAACATGCATTTGCATTGCCAGACAGCACAATCACAACTGCTGATACTGACAGCAGGGATACTGCCATGTAAGTTATCATTACTTCTACAGGAGCAGCCAAATTCCTAGGGCTCCATCCGTCCTCTGATGCTTCTATACAGGATTTCAAAGCAGCAACTGAGCAGACAAATTAATATAGCTGAGATATCTTGGAAAACAAACATAACACCAAAAATATCTTTTATTCAAAATAACATTTCAGTGCTGCAATATTGCCTCTTACGGAATAAGCTTTCTAGTAAGCCTCATGGCTTACTGGAAGGCTAGAGATATAGACATGTTTGTGTTGAGCAAGCTCTTTTGTCAAGAATCAACTGTAGAGCCAAAGTACAAATCTGCTGATTTTCTGAAACAAACAAATGAAAACCCCCAAACTCATAATTCCGAGTACTACCTAGTTTAAATAATTAATAAATTAACTTGTTATCCATCTTGTAGAACTAAATTTTTTCCCAGGAAAACAAGCAAACTTTCCTCTTAAGTTCTGTAGCAGCCACTTTCATGGAAACATTTTCTTCTGCAATTCCAGATGGTAATGGATCTGACTCCCAGAGCTCTGTTCAAAGCAACCAGCCTCGCTCTTCAAATATCCTCTTTTTCTTGTACATCAGCATCCATAATGAACCAATTTACCTTTTGTTACTCTGTGTTGATGTCGGTGGCATACTTCCATCTGAATGCCTAATGCACTTTGTGCTCTTGTCAATATATAACCGGATTTAGGCAGAAAACCGTGAAATCTAAAATCTGCTACAAAATGCCCACTTTTTTTTAAAGAAGAAAACTTTTATTTTTTAAAAAAATGAAATGTCATTTCTAGGTTCCGAATGATATAAAAATTTTTGTACCATAAAAAAAAAAAGTATTACAGATATCAAAGTCCATCCACATTTAGAATGGGATGCCCAAGTCAGACCAGAACAAGAGATAAGAGAAATTAACTCTAAGAACTTAGAGATCAGACAAGCTAAAAAGACAACTGCAAGTGTGGTGCTCGAAAAAGACTATGCCTTTCAGTCATTTAATATGTAAGGATAAAATTTAGACCATTCTCTTCTAATGAATCCCAGAATTTGGTAGAGGAGGAAAGCTATCATCCCTGGAGAGTATTTCAGAAATGTTTTGTTTTGCACTGAGTATTCATATACAAACTAGTAACAGATAATATGCTGATGTGGATCAGTGCTTTGTAACTAGAGTTGATATAAAACTCTGGCCAGGAAGCAGCTAGTAAGGACAAGAAGAATTTAATTGGATCAGATCATCTTCTCAACAAAGCAGGCTTGCAGATCTACCCAAGATTTGGGGTGCTGTCCAACTTAATATTTGCTATTTACTACAGCCTCACCAGGAGAAAATCCAAACATGACAACTTCTGCAAATATTATATTATCAGCCCTTGCAAATAATTAATTTTTTAGGGATAAGATAAAAGTTACACTTTTCTACTTTATTTTCCAAGATTACTGAAAACATTAAATTTCAGGTACAAAACCAAGTTCCACTTGCTTCATCTATTCCTTTTAAAATGAGTTTCCTTTCCCTCATCTTTAACTCCACACTTTCTGCCTAAAATGTAAAGCTGAATTTTTAGTCTTTCTATTTCAGGTATTTTACCATGGAACAAAGGAAGAGCATCTAGAGAGATCTGTACAAAAAAAAAACCCCAAACTCAAGAGTAAATACGAACTGCAGTATTTAATCCAGTAACTATTCACACAAGTGGAGGCAAGCAGGGGGAAAGCAAAGTCCATCATGAGACAAATATATATTTGATATATATATATATAGAACAGCCTTGATTTTTTTTTAAACAAATGAAGTCTACAAAGATTGCTTCATTGCTTCCCTTTCACAAAATGGAACATTCCACCTTGTTAACACAATAAATATATTGGTTAAAAAACTGAGTGTGGGGGCAGGAGCTGCGTTTCCAAAATTCAGAAGCTGTTACGTGTGAAATCCCAAAGCAGCAGTGTCAAACCTTCTCTTGGAAGTGCATACAACACTGCACTTAGCTATTGTAGGAATTCAGGTAAGGAGAGAAATTGTTTCTTTCCTTCCACGGTCTCCAGCACGAGTACGTAGTGCCAGTCATATCCCTTCATGAAATGTTCTGAAGCAGACAGCAAGAGTCTCTCATTTCTAGTAACTGGAAGAGAACTTTCCCTTTCCATGTATCATAAGTTTTTAAATATTTTTACTAATGCAATATTGAGCTTTAAAATAAAAGTAATACATACAACTTAGGGCTAGAATTGCGTGGTGCTGTCATGCTGGATTAAGGATCTATGTGAGGAAAGAAATATATATATTTAACGAATTTGAATGACTGGGCGTGAAAGGGGAATCCTCCTCACAGTTACCCTGAAATTCCAGAATGTGTGCCTAAAATACATTTTTCCTGTTACATTATCAAAGACATGAAAGAAACCCAAACAGCCTTTCAATTCTCATCTTCTGTACTGCAAACGCTTTGGAACAGGGACTCCTAAAGAAAGCAATGTTTCTATACTGCTTATCACATGCTAACCAGTCTGCTCTTTATTTCTAAAACCTCTGTCAATAATGGATTTCACATAGATCTAGCAGCATCGGTTCAAATGTGTACATGCACAGATGCGTAAAATCTCCATGGCTTCCCAGAACTGCAGGATGTAGGCTAACAAGCACCATGGTTATACCCGTAAATCAACTAAAGCCAGTCTGATAGTGAACTTCCCACCTGAGAGGAGGTGACAACTAGTGGATTCTCAGAATTTCTCCTACTTGTCAGGATTCTCAGGGCGGGAAAAAGGCTTCTTTGCAGTCTGAATGGTTCCACATGAGGATCCAAGAAGGCTCAGAAATAACAAAGGCCTACCAAAGCTTGAGAACTGCTAGGTTTATATGCATCCAAGCACTGAAGAATATGGAATGAGGCAGGGAGACTCACTGACCTCTAGGATAGTCATGGCTTTAACCTCTCTTCACTGCAGCTTTTAATAATAAAATCTTTCCTAAAGTTTTAATATACTTGCAGTCACTTCTCTGAATGAACCTTCTCAAAAAGCAGATTATCGTCTCTGTACACATTTGTACTTTATCATTCACAAATCTAACATTGATTTATCGGAAGTCAGTGAATTACCAATTTAAGCTAAATCAATATACGTGTCTATATATATGTGTGTGTGTGTGCGCACGTGTGTCAATGTATGTGTTTAAATCAATATATGAGTTTGAACTGGAGTAACTAAGTGACATCAAAGTACCTAAGTCTTCAGTTACAACACGGTAACTTCTGTGAAGTGGCTATCTTCCAATG